GTGGAGAACTTGAGCGCGAGTCCGTCAGATGGGTACCTGAAGATAGACACAAAAGGCAGTGTGCGATGGAGACAGGTTGCTTTCGCGCAGCAGCGTCTCAGGATATGTCCTTGCATGATGATGCGGGTTGGCTTGGGGCAGGTGATGCTGCAGCTTGGCTTGGATCAGGTGTGCAAGGGTGTCAACGGCCCCTCAATTCCGGCTTTGGAGACTTACACGTGTCTATGGATCGGCCAAAATTTTGCCGGGCAATGCGTGCGTTCTCGCGACTGCCTCATCGTCTGTTAGTATTTACGAGAGACCCTCTTGAAAGCATGTCGTCAAGGTGCTACTGGTCACGAGTAGCAGGCACCACAAATGCAGCCAGACTTGCCAATGTTTGTGCGGCAGATGTGGTTGCTGGTTATTCCAGTCGTGGGAAGATGTAACACAGGCTAAAGGGATGAGAATCTGTGAGGAGTTTTTGACATATTTGTATGGTTCGGATATATGTTCAATTTACCGATTATGCCTATCTACGCTTGTTGAGCTCACCAACATCAGAGGGCTTTCCCAGCGGGTGCAGAGTTACAACGACAACCCTTTGCAGAGTCATAGCAGACTTGTGAATCATTGCGGATAGGGAGCTGCAAGCTAGAGGTTCCCAAACGATCCATGTGAGGAGTTTTTTTTCAAGAATTGTTGTGGTTCGGATAAAAGTTCAAGTTACCGATTATGCTCGTCCCCGCTTGTTCAGCTCACTCACATCACTTGGCTTTCCCGGTGGGTGCAGAGTTACAACGACAACCCTTTGCGGGGTAGCTGTCGACGTGTTGGTCATTGGACTTGTGGGTGGGGGGGAGGGTGTCAGCGAGAACGGAGCTTTCAAAGATGCCGAGACTCTGATTCCAAATGTTTTTGGAGGTATTTTCAGAAAAAAATCCCATGACGAGCTACGATTCTTGTGGCCAACGAGAGTGAAAACTGAACATCCGTTTCCGTCACTAATGTTCTGTACCGCTGCAGATGCTGGATCTTGGTGCGAACGCTCACTTTCGAGGATATGGAACAGAAAAGATAGTCAGACAGATGATGACAGATGATATGCAGAGATCGTGTTTTCATCCATCGGTCATTGAGGAGAAGTCCTGCAGCGATGAGGTAGATTGGCTTGGGGTGGATGATGTTGCAGCTTGGCTTGGATCAGTGGGCCTTGCATGGGCACTGAGCGAGCGCATCGTCCTTGGTGCAATGTAGACATCTGTCTTCGTCTTCGGAATGCGCATGCCGATCGTTTAAGGACTGAAGGTGGCAGGCAGTAGATGATGCTAGTTCTGGCTTCTTTTCCGAAATCATGTCGTGCAGGCGCCGTCCGAGAATGATGTCGCAGCCCCCTTGCAAGATGATGTCGCCGCTCCTTGCAAGCTGAGTGTGGCTAGTGTGGTGTCGGCTGCCTCTGTGCGGGCTTCGAGCTTGCAGCTACCTGCAGTCCATTTGGCGTTTGCCGGCTTCGAAAACAGAATTGGTTGCGGGGTGTCCTTGTACAGAGAGAGACCCCATAATCGAAGTCAGGCAGTGAAAGCTTCGGCATCGCAGCGTACTGCGGCTTCCCAACCATTGCGTTCTTCGGCAGTGGCCTTCTTTCCAGCATTTCAAAAGGCCATGTGGCTTTCGAGCGAGCCTTCACTAAGCTGGGATGCAGTCGGGAGGTGTAGCCACTACATGAGACTGGCCAGTTTCCGTCTTGGAGGTTTAAATGGGTCTGTGCAGATTTATTGCGTTGGAATGTCTGGGCGACGACGTTTCCAGACCTGGGAAATCCCCCCTGCCTCAGGCCGATGTGGACCAGTGCCCCGCGTCAGAGATGGTGGTTTTGTTGAGGTTTGTATTAGTTACTAGTACAAGATCACAGCCATCATCGAGGAAAGCCCCAGGTTACATTGCGAATCTTTCAATGACACACAACAAGCAAAGAGCACGATCTTTAGCAGTTATGCGGAAGTACCTGGGGAGTGAAGACATGGTGTACAAGCAAAGTCAAGGACAGTAGCACACAGTATGCAGTGCCATCCTCGCCAGCAGCAGCGGCAGCAAAAGCCGCCGCTGTCACACGTTCCGGTGACGCCGCAGCCGCCGCCGCACCAGCCACGGCACCAGCCACAGCACCAGCCGCAGCACCAGCCGCAACGAGCAGCAGCAGCAACAGCGGCAGCAACAACAGGCAATGCAATTGCAAAGTGCCGCAAAGGTTTGCCGTCAAAGGTTGCATCAGCATGAGATGAACATCAAACGTGCAGGTCCGTCACCCACCACACACATATGCAGATGTCACAACTGCCTACCCTACATAAGAGGCCGAGTGGTCCTCGTGCAGCCTGACATACAATGTGGCTAACGTTTCATCACGGGATTATATCAGACTTGTTTGCTCCTGGGCACATGTGCAATTTAGCCTGCCGGATGCGCTTGACATAGTAGGATTTAGGAGCTGGCCACCAGCCACTTTTCGGCACTTCCTTACCAGTACCAACGCAGATGACTCGTAGTAGTCCGCATGTTGGAGTTCGAAGCTTGAGTGCTTATGTGAGGTGAAGAGCTGTTGGCTCCTCCAACCTGTGCTGCTTGGTCGAAGCATCTTCTGGTTCGGTACCCTTCGGCTCTGGGTTGAGGGCAGTGTGCGAAGGTATTTGTAGGAGTCCAAGCAAGAGGGAACACAAATCCCAACTTTGGGCGGATCCGGAAGATCTCATTCTCACTCACACCAGCTCCTCCCATCTCCTTTTCGTTGGTGATTGTAACTCCCGCTTGGATGCTAACATAGACCCCACGTATGTCATAGGCCGTCGACAAAAGATAATGCAGTATTTTTGCTAGACTTTTTCGAAGCCGATGGTTGCTGTCTCCCTCAGACATTCGTTACTCTCCCGTTTTGCAAACAAGTTTCGTACAAAGAGATGACCTGTACTGACCACACCCTCGAATAAGAGGACGCCTTTAAATGGATGACTCTTGACTACCTCATCATACCTAAGGCTCTTCGAGAAACGGTCACATTTTTCGGTACAAGTCTCCCAAATGTGCCAATTCCAGACATGTCCCACTATCATACTCAATACAGGCAAAATACCTCGACAAATTTTCTCCAGCTCGAAAGGATCGTTTGCACCCAACTTTTTACGTTTTCCACCACAGTGGAAAGAGCGCTTTTTCCCATACAAGCACTGATCTAAAAGCTGACTATATTTCTTCCAATCGTCATGCAGATATCAGTAACGCCATTTTTGCGATCCCGGCCATCCAACAAATACGGGAAGCTTGTGGAGCCTCTACCTTGATAAGCATGGACAACACTCCTACGACTACGACTACGGCGACGACGACTGCTACTACTAGTAACTAGTACTGCTGCTGCTGCTGCTGGCTGCTGGCTACTTTTCCTGCGACTGCGACTGCTACTCCCACTACCACTGCTACTGCTACCGGTACCGGTGCCGCTACTGCTTCTGCTACCCACAGCTTCCGGTACCGTCACTGCCGCTGCCATTGGCACTGCCACTGCCACCGCCATTGCCACGCTACTGCTGCTGTTTCTGCCCTTGCTGCTGTTGCTGCTGTTGCTGCTTCTGCCACTGCTGCCACTATTCCAACTGACGTTTACTTCCACCACACGTTGGCAAGTGGTCCCTGCCCTTCTTTTTCAGACTCCATTCAGTGACAAGGATCTGCGTGCCTTCGGGCGAGTTCACCCGCAGAGCTTGGGAGAGGCGCCGTGCCGTAAGCCATTGACACGGTGTTCGTCGACTGCCCCGACGACCCGCAAAAAGAATCCAAACTTGAAGCGGAAGCGTGTCCCTTTGCCAGGTTGCCGAGTCCTGATTGAAGGGGTTCAGGCTTCCCACAATATCTGTGGCTTCTTGAGGCGGTGTGTCTTCCGATACGGCATCCGTGGGGTTCCCATACAGTCTCCATTCACCACGGCCGCCCCAGTGTCACCAACCGCGGAACATCGGCAACAATCAACTAAATCGCAAGCTATCCTGCTTGTTTTGCTTGTTGCCGTGCCCCCGCAGTCTTCAGCAAGTGGCGGCAACACCGCTTGGGGCGCATACTGCAATCGAGGCCTGCAGCATGTCAGGGCTTCAGAGTATCGGTTTCGAACAAGCTTGTTGCTTTTGGTAGACGGTCCTGTCGTGAACAAACTTGGCAAACTCAGCAATCGCAGTGTGACAACCAGCGGCAAAGAAGCCGGCAAAGAAGTTCATTGAGGCAGGGCAGGTATGACTGGTGTCGCCAGAATCGAAGCATGACGAAGGTCTGACTGTCCGACCCAGACTCTTCGCATTGCGCAGCCCGGAGGACTCCCGCGATTCCTGTGAGGGGCACAGCCGTGTGGGTGAACTGTTTAGTGTGAGTTCTTCCATCGCGAAGCGAGGACGAGCTCGAAGCCTCCAAAGCTGGGGCGACGTGCAAAACTTCTCTAAAAAAAGGCCCTCCTGAGGGGACTTTGCCTTATCCCAGGCACCAGCCGAAGGCTTGTTGTGCACCTGCACGCACTCAGACATCTGCGATTGCTGTGAAATTAGAGCATGTCCGAAGAGCATCACAGATGTACAGGATGCTCTAGAGGATCAGTGGTTTGTTGCTTCGCCAACCACCGCCTCTTGCGGATGTTCTGCCGCTCTCAGTTCGAAAACCGTGCTTAAGTGTCTGGATCGTCCGGTCCAGCTCGAACCTTGGAACGGATAGGATGCATAAGCAGATGGCCACTATTGTACAGTTCAATTTGAAAGGTGCTCGCTGGCAGACATGGAGCCTGTGATGTGTTGCATCTCTGTGCTTGGGCCCGCAGGTGCAACCAACAGTAGGGTCCCGGTTTTTGATGATCTTCTACACTCATGTCTACACTACGGCCCTTGTTTAACTGGGTAAAGACATCGATCCCAATTAATTGTCGGAAAGACGTCAGTTCGATTTCACTGGGTTCTTATATTAGCAGTTGAAGTCTTGCTGTCGTTAGCTTCATGGCGGCAGCAGGTTGGAGCTGTGAATTTTCGATCGCAGTCGTCGGGTAGAGAAGCCACTTCCGGGTCGTCAGGGCTGCTGCTACCTGTGCGTCACAAACCGGCAGCGTTGGATCCAGATGCATGGAGCCTCCGCGCAGACAAGTGCTCTTTTGGAATCGGTCTGGACGTGACATGGGCCAGAGTTTGCACCGCGATGGAGTTGCTCATGGGGTTCCTACTGTCTGATAAAAATCGCACAGCGTGTGGCGCGTGCTCTGGGATTCAAGGGAGGTTTTGCAGTATTTGCACAGTATTTCGCCCAGGTTGAGATTGGTGAAATCAATGACTGTTGCAGTCGATCAGACAGCAAGTTCTGACGGGTGGAGTCTCCAATCTGCAGGGCAGCATCTGTAGGCTGGCTGTGATGTAGAGGACCCTCCATGCTCCGACGACGCTAGTGGTAGACGCAAGACTGTGGCGACTCGGGGTACAACGGCCACATTGTACATTAGGTAGAGCCTAAACAGTCGTGCATGGTTGTCCAGAAAGGAAATCGCCACGTTGGACACCAACAGATGCCGATCTGGATACGACCAGCACGCCAGTGCACTCGCAGGCATGGCGTGGCTTACTCTCGCTTTTGGTAGCGGATGCTTGCTGATTTCACAGTATTTCTCTATCACGAATGACAAGCAGAAGTGGAATCAAATTTCGAGGCAACTTGTCCAGGTTCTGAGACAGAGACAGTAAGACGAAAAGAGAACGAGTAAGCAAGGTGAGAGAAGACAGCAGTGAAAATGATTCACGCAGAGAGGGCAGACTGGGACGGGAAGGCCACCCCGTCACTCAACATCTTTCTGACAAGAGCAACGCAACAGAAGGGAAACTTCGACAGAAATTTGTGTTTTTCCGCTCCTCTCCGCTTCCGGTATCTCTCTCTCTCTCTCTCTGTCTCTCCCTCCTGTGTCTCTAATTCACTACACCGCGCAATCCAGCACTGAGATCAGAGAGGAGGAAAGACAAGCGAAAAACCTGATTACTGTAAGACATGCTTTCCCTGCGCTTCTTGTTTTTGAAGCGGAAGTAAGTCCGTGTGCAGTTGGAATGAAAGCAAGGAGAGAAAAGAAAAGACAGGCACTGCTTTTCTCTGTCCCTTTGTCTTCTTTGCCCCTGGTCCGTCAACATCTATGTACCTAAATCTGTCTCGGATGATCAGGAGTCAAGACAACAAGGGGTGAAGAAGATGCCACTGTGCACAGCTTTTGCAAGCATTTCTGAGACGAACAAGATGCAGGAGGGTGGTCTTCTCGGTCTTCTCCTTTCGTGGTCTGTTTCCTTCTGCTTCAATGAGACGGAAGTAAAAACAAGAAAAGGAGGGGTAAACTGGAAGAAGCGATTAAACCGAAGCCTCACCCGCAGCATGCACCCAGTCACACACCTCCTCCGCATCTACCTTGCTGTTGACCCACTGCCCGCCCGACGTTCCTACCTGCCTGCCTGCCCACCTACCTCGACCGACTTCGACCGACCGACCCTACCTACCTACCTACCTACCTGCAGGCAGCTATGGGCAGACAGGTAGAGGCACGCACGTACATCTGCAATGTGCTTGCAGTCATGTACGCCTGTACGTCGGCACTTACAGGTAGACGCATGTAAGCACATGTTCTCGGAGTTTTTAGACACATGGACGCAAACATGAGTGGCCAAAGAATTAAATTGAGCACAAGATACATACATTTCTCCATGGGACGAACATCAGCAGACAAAGATCACAGTTCTGTTGACGAGAGAGTGTACATGTCTTTATTTACGCTTATCTACGTGTGAGTATTTGTTGTTTCCAGGGTGTAAAGTGTAAAGCCTACCGGAAGGAAGGAATGTCGACGTCAGTTTTCGTAACCACGTCACAGCATATGTGTAGCTGCAGATGCGCCCTTCGGTCTGGTGCTCGCCCATGTTTGTGCGTGCAGCTGCATTACGGAAGTATGTCCAATCCACGAGTCTCAGTTGCGGGCTTGGCACCAGGCACTGCTAGGTCGCGGTGGGCATTCGCGTTCTCCGTCTCCACGTCCCTCGCCGCAGTCGGAGTTTGGCTTGGACTTGTCCGCGGCGCGGAGCAGCAACGAATCTTGCCTCAGTGAGAGATGCAGCTTTGCAGAGACGGGTATGAGACTGCAGATCAAACGAGTGGGCAGTTCCATCTCAGGTGTATGGCGGCAACTCTGGTGCACTCGGTTGGACTTAGCTTAGCTCCGATTGGTGGTGTTGCTGTTGCATGTATCATGATTTGGCCGCTTATTGTGCTTTGGGATATTTGAGCTTATTGTTGACTTGCTCCGCTTTGCCGCATGTGACTCCACTCCGCCGGGCTACACCCCACTCTGCTTCGCACCACCGTTGCCGACATGCCCGTAGCTTAACCATCAGTTTGCGTTTTCAGTCCCCCTGGAGTTTCTATTGTAGACTCATGACTTCTTCATCCTGTATCTGAGTCAACTCGTACTCCTACCCTGCAGGATCCAATGAAGTCACCAAGTCGAAGCATGTGTTTGTTTGGAACGGCCGTGTCATCGAGCTTTTTTTGCGAGTTTTGTCGATCTTGGCTGCTGCTGATTCACTCAAAAAGGCGGCAGCTTTTGAGTACAGACTCCGAGACCCTAAATTCTCTGAGCCCGGATCGAGGTGCTCTGCGATCACCGATGCACTCGGATTCCCTTCTTTCTGCTCGCCTGGCCCTCAGCATCAGCGGCTGCTAGCTTTCAGCGGCCCCAGCAGCGCGACGCAACGAAAGAGCGCGAATGTTTCTCCTGATCTTTGGGACTCACTCTGCTAGCCACAGCGCGAGGCCAACACAGTTCTCCCCGTCACTCCGTGGGCTTGGCAACGCAGCACGGCTTGGGGGTGTTAAGCCTTCAGCAAGAAACTAAACTACCGGTTTGTTTGTGGCTGACTGTGCAGACATGGTGTCACAGCGAAGGCCGATGGCCGCCGAAGTTGCGCCAGAAGCTTCGCCGAGATTGTCTTCCAACATGTCGCCACGCCATTCCCGCCACGTCATTCGGCCGTGTTGGTGATTTTTTCAGAAGGCCGTGGCCTTAGCGGCTTAGCGCCCTTTAGCTTTCGGCAAGGCCACTATGGATGCGGACGGGACGTCCTTGCGGTCTGACTTGGCGGCATCTCCAAGGCCGGAGCTGGAGAAGTCTCTCAGACGGCACAGCTGGGAGATGCTGTGAGCAGGCATTCTAGTTCTTTGTCGCCAAGAACCTTGGGCTTTCTTGTCGATGATCTTTGCTGCACCCTCGGTTTCTACAGAGGCGCCCGCCAGCTCCATCAAACTAAGGACATAGTCTTCAATTTCGGTCGTCTCCGACAACGCCTGTGACCCCCGAACGGGTGGTTCCAGATTCCGACGCTCAGTTCCACGAGCAGTAGTACCCGTAATTGCACAAATTTCTGCGAGACTTTGACGATCGGGCCTGCCCTTGAACGTGATCCGCTGGGGTGGAGGAACCTGATATAAGAAATGCACTGAGGCCCCTTCATCTTCTATGCAGTCCACCAGAACCTTGTCACATCAAGTCGCTTCCCAATACGGTGGTTCGCACGATGAAGTGCACTGGTTGCGTGTTGTGGCCTTTCATCCTTGGCGATGTGTTTTGTGTGATCGTCGGCCATGTCTTTACCATCAGCTCATGGACCAGTTTATCTGACAGGACCGACTTACCCATCTCCAGGAAACAGCTCCCCGATGCATTCGCAGGCAGTCAGAGGGCTCAATGTCGATGTTGCTTCACGCTGGATCGTGTTCGGTGATGGCAATGCTGCGGGATGCACGAACGAGCTGCCATGTCGTCTTGCCATGTCATACCATTCAGTGTGCATCCAATTCTGACAGCTGCTGGCGCCGTGCTTGCAGACAGGTGCTGCTGGAACTGCCCACGCGTCACAGCACTTTGGATGCAGAGCCTGTGTTTGAAGTAGACAGGAGAAGAAAGGGGAGGAGGCTGTTTTGAAGACGTCGTAGCCGCGAGGCTCGTCGCCTCGGCGCTCTCCGGTGGCCATGGACGTAGAGCTTGGCTCGCCTTCGGCCCCGAATGTCGTGCGCCACAAGAGCCTGCCGGGGCCCCTGGCAGCTGGCAAGTGACCGCGTCGCGTTTCGTTGCACCAGGAGTGAGTAAGTTTGAATATTTCTGATCTCGGGATCTTCCTGTGAAAGTTGTTGAACCTGCAAGAGCCTCTTAGACTCTTGGGCAGAATGTCCGGGGTTGCGGTGTTGTTGAAGTTGTTTGGTCTAAAGTGCCGGTGGCTTGAGACTGGGTTGAGGTATGAGAGCCGAAGCTGAAATTTAATCCCCCTCTTTGTTTGACTCAGGAAAATACCGGATCTGCCTCAACGAGGTTCGGCCGGCCTCGGCATCGGCATCGTTATCCTGTCTGTTGGCATGGATTTAGTGTACCGGACTGTATGCAGATGCAGACTTGCAAAACATTCCAAGCACGCTTGAAGATTTGGAATCCCTGCTGCACCGGGATGTACTGCATGTGGCTGCCCCACTTACTGCCCCAAATCCTCCTCACACCTGCAGTAACAGTGCCAGGTCACAAAGTATACAGAAGGCAAGGTAGTGGGAAACAGCCCCATCACCCAATGCCAAGCCTGAAGCCTCACGGAAGCTAAGTCCTAAGTATCCTGTGCAGGTGAGGATTCGCCCGGGCACCGCCTAAGCGTCTGTATGAGCGAGGAATTCCGGCCTCTCTCACAAGCCAGGGCCCAAGTACAGTCAACGGATGGAATGGACGTGTGAGCACTGCCACCATGTCCGCGTGCTTCTTCTATTCTCTCCGTGCAGATTTGCCAGCTGAACAAAAGCCCGGCCTCAACCCTGAGTTTGAACCATGGACCGGGAAATTACCAGTTTTTGTCCATGGGTTTCTCCATGAGTGGAGAGGCGACTTTTGGTCCCGACGCGAACGAAAGGCCGGGCTCGGGGGGCCTCTCGCAGTTAGAATGTTTTGCAGGGCTCAGGGCTTCAGAGGCTCAGGTTTTTAAGCACTTCACTTTCAAGTTTCAAGTGCACAAGTGATTCGCTTCTTGACCAGGACTCCCGTTGGTGATGGCCTTGACCAGTTCCGGCCGTTGTCGCCCCAAGCCAGCCCGACGCGGTACGACGAGCTGGAGAAGTTCAGGTCCACTCTTCACCGTCTTAACCATGGAAGGGTGAAGCAGGATCTGCCCCCCAGAGTACCCTTCCATCATCTCCAACATTGAATTTTTGACGAGGCCTCTTTCGCCAATGTCCAAAGCAGGTCAGCCGGTGCAACCGGTAGACGCGCCGAGCTCAGACATCTTCACAAGGTTGAGACGCGTCTGAGAAAGCATGGTTCTGTGAATTTTATGCGACGAGCCTGTGGCTGAATTTCCTGAGCTCTGAATCCCAACTCCAGACGGTCTTCCAGGAGCTGGACAAGTACCGGCCTCTATCGCCTGCGTCTTCAATCAGATCGACGGTGTATCCTGCCGAGAGGCCGAGCATGGCTGAAGGGGCAAGAGGGAACGATCACTGGCGCCCTGAAAGAAGCGAAGTTTTGACTCTAGATTCTAGAACCCTGCCATATGCTCGAGACTTGCACAGGGGATCTCCTGCACACACTCTGGCAACTCCCAGAAGCCATGTGGCAGGACGTTGCTGCCCGACTCGCAGAGTGAGGTGCAACGGCTGCGACTGGGACTGGACGATGAGCCCAGGCAGGTTCCAGGGCTACTGAAAGCTGCCTGAACGGAAGTTGAAGTTTTCCGGGACACGGAGGAGAGTCCCTGAAAGCAGGGTCTGGAATGCTTCCTTGGTTCCGGTTGTAAAGTCCGATGGGCTTGTGTGCCGAAGCTTGTTGAAATTGCACAGGAAAGCATCTCCGTCAACGAAGGACAGGATTTTTCTGTGAGATGTATTGGGGTAGCTGGTGATTTGTTTTCGTTTCCATTTCCTGCTGCAAAACAGGACCAGGACGAAGCGGAGCGGCGCAAGTCGAAGGACGCGGTGACAAGTCTTTGGCCTGAAGTTAGCTGGTCGTGCAGAAATCCCGGGACATCGGAGGAGTCGACTCGCTCAGCCTTAGACGAGGAGATTGAGAGGCACGAGACCGGCTGTGTGAGAGTGGATGCAACTCGGTGCATGGGCCGGGCTGCATGATGTGGAACTTGTATCGAGCAGCGGAGTGCCTGCGATTGCGGCAGTCCTTGAGCCGTAAGCCGAAGTGTCATTCTGGAGGCAAGAAGCCATCACCAAGCGGCTGACGATGTCACCTGCCAACAGGGTCAAGTGTGGGGCATTGAATGATTCAGCAATTATTTGCCTGTTTGCTTTGATCGGATTGCACTTGAGGAACTTTGGTCGCAGGCTTAAGTAATCAGATGCTCTTCGTGGGTAGACATGGGCGACGGCAGACGAAGAAGGGCTGAAGAGTTTAACGAGCACAAGCGGCTGCAAGCGCTGAACGGAATCAAGACCAAAGGGTTTCAATCGCTCATACATTGCAAGACAACGGGAAGACACACAGCCACAAATGCGTGCAACGCAAGGATGCCAACACTGCAACTACCCTGTGGAATGCAACGGTAGTAAGAGAGGGAAGGAGGCGAGATGAGGCGAGCATGGCCATACAACTAAACATAAATCGCACACATTGCTTGGTTACGCATGTGTGCTCATATGCACATGCGAGGTCGGTCAGGCAAGATGCGAAGCGCCTAAGTGCTGACGGTAATCAATGTGCACATACACCAGTAGATAAATACAATTGTTGCCAATGTATGTGTGTATACACATATGCATACGTGTATACCTGTCTATGTCAGTTGTTTTTCTCTTTCATGCATCTCGCTCTCTCTCTCTCTCTCTCTGTCTTTCTCTCTCTCTGTCTCCCCTCTCCCTCTCCCTCTCCCTCTCCCTCTCCCTCTCCCTCCCTCCCTCCCTCCCTCTCTCCCTCTCCCTCCCTCTCTCTCTCTCTCTCTTTCTCTTTCTCTCTCTCTCTCTCTCTCTCCCTCCCTCTTTCGCTCTTTCCGTCTTTCTTGCTCCTTTTCTCCGCCGTTGTCTCTCTGCCTCTCTTCCTCTGTCCCTCTTTCTCTCTGCCTTTTCCCGCTCTCTCTCGCTCCCTCCCCGTCTCCCGTCTCTGGGTCTGTCTCTCTGTCTTGCTTTCTCAGTATCTCGCTGTCTCTCGCTACTTGTATCTCTCTGTCGCTCTCGCTCCCGCTCCCGCTCCCGCTCCCGCTCTCGCTCTCCCTCTGTCTCCCTCTGTCTCTCTCTTTTTCTCTTTCTCTCTTTCTCTCTTTCTCTCTGTCTGTCTGTCTGTCTGTCTGTCTGTCTGTCTGTCTGTCTCTGGCGCGTATATGTACATATACTCATGTCATGTTTTTATTTGTAGATCGACGAGTAGATGGATAGTTAGATGGATTGATCGATAAATGGCTGGTTGTCAAAATTCTGGTTTTTTCTGGATTCCCCTATATATTCGGTGCCGTATTAAAAAAATAGGGACCCAAAAAGGGGCCCTGATATTGACAACCACCCAAAAGGATGATGGATGGATGGCTGGCTGGCTGGGTGGGTAGGTGGGTGGATGGATGGATGGAGATATCCCTTTATAACAATAACAGTAGTGATCATAATAACCATAGCAAAGTAGTTAAAACAATTAAAACGATAATAAAGATATCACTGTCCAACACATCATGATGGTTCTGAGTGTTGCTGACATTCTGCATCAATCCTGAGCTGATGACGTCCAGGCAGTTGCGGTCTCCGAAGCGGCTCTCCCCAGCCGTGACTTGGGCTACAGCATTCTGGGGTTTGGAGGTGTCAGGGCGAAGCTTTGGGATAGGAGCTGACTATGTTGGATGTTGCGATGCGTGTTGAGGGACCGAAGTCTTCTTGAGGTGTCTTTGTCGTTTGTGCTTGTCGATTTTTGCTCGAAGTTGTGCGGTCAAGTTTAGGCCCGGTGTTCGGCTGTCTGTTTCGGTATATGCCTTGCCCTTATTTGTCATAAAGAGTTACATGTAGAGGGCGCCCAACCGTGGAAGATGAGCATCCCAATTCCAACACGGAAGAAGTGCGCGCAATCCGCATTATTCGTGCGAGTGGGAGAGTCGCAGGTGCAGCAGCGAGCTCTCGCAGCTCTGCCTGCCACCCCCGTGGCAAGTCGCCGGTCAGTCTCCGAGCCAAGGCCGTCGTGTTCGAACTCCTTCAACCCTCCAAGGATGAAGGGTGCGAGTTTTCAGTGCGTATGGCGTAGGGCTCAAGACTTGAGCCGGCAGTTGAGCTAACAAACCCAAAATCTTTTCCATTTCCAAAGCCGCAGGCCACGGTGTTGCGTGGGACGTTGATAAAATTGAATGAATCCCTGGTTCCTTGGGTTGATGACGCGGTGTCTGGTCGCTTCAAGCTCAAGCTGCGTTCCTGCTGTATGCCATTCTTGCTGTATGCGGAGGCTGCAGCAGAGCCCTGGTGCAGCCCCGCCTGGTGCCACGCATTCGGGCTGGGTGCCGACAGGCGCCTGCCGGATGGTAGTGGCCTTGCAGGGCCCAGCAGTGTTGTGTTTGGGTTTCGAGCCCGCAGATTCTGCCCGCGTTTTTCAGGCAGAAAGCAAGCGTGCGTGTGCACCCAAAGGTGTGGTGAGTGATAAAAGCAGTTCACACTTGTACATTTTGGGTTTGCTGCGTTTTCGGGCCACCGCCACCACCTTCTACCCTCCTTGAACAGTCGGGGACACAGAGATACAATTAGAGGTACAAAGATATAGAGGCATTGAGATAGATAAATATAAATGAATAAATGAATCAATAAAGATATATATATATATATGTGTATATATATATATATAGAGGTATCATTGGCTAGGAGGCAGCATTCAATGAAGTTGCATGATCGCTTCCTACCTGTATGGTGTCCTCTCCACGGCCAGTGGCCAGTGCTCTCAGTTTCCAAATTGCCTGGCAGTATTTCTGGTGTGAGACAATAGGTTCCGCTTGCTTAGCTGCCATGAGCTGCTGCGACCCAGCTCTTGATGCTTGGGCACTGGTGGATGGGTGAATTATGCCCCTCCCGCACCCGAAGCGGAAGCATAGCCTCCCGTCAGGCGCAGACTCCCTGGAGCACCGTGCCAGCGCGTGCATCGTGGAGGAGCTCCGGTCCCCTCCGCAGGTGGTTCGCGACGGGCGGCGGATCGGATGGTCGTGGGCGCCGGGCATTTAGGGTAAGTATAGGGTTTGGAGGTTCGCAGAGGCAGCGGTCTAGTTGCAACAGTAGCCGCAACCCAAGCATGAAGTCCCTGCAGGTCCCGACCGCAAAATTTGCTGCCGAGGGGCCGACCAACAGGCTGCAGGGCACCCTTGGGCGCGGGACGATGATAGCATGACTGACGACAGTGTTGGCGGGAATCAAGTTGATGCCGCTGCTGGTGGTGATGATAGATGTGGTTTTTAACGGCGACAAGGGAACTGAAGTTGATTATGAAACCGAGGAAGAGGGTGAGAATGAAGGCAAGGCAGACGACGAATGATGCCACTGATGAAGGCCGTGATAGGCAGAAAAATGAGTCCGATGATGATGCTGCTAGTCATGGTGGCAACATGCGGCAACTTCACCGATGCCCAAGCACCTAGAAGGTGAAAATCACGGTGCCAAGCTACAGCTACTTGGTCAAAAGCAGCCAGCCAGATGACGTGATCGACATAGCAATGCTCACAACAAATCCTGGTGTCTCGATCTGCAAAAGACAAACTAGAACACAACGGTGATGTTCATGATGATGATGGTAGTGAGAAAGAAGCCCTCCGGCACATGTGAAAGTGGCCATGCTCCGATGGCTTCGCCTCCCCACGGGTGGTCTACTCGCAGATCCGCCCATGCAAAGTGAGGAGGAGGAGGAGCGAGAGCGAGGGCCATAGTGCAGCCTGCCCGACCGCAGCATGGACAACGCCTCAAGTGATCGGGGCCCGTCGTCGTGCATCGTTTGAGCTGCTTAATCCTTTTGGGTATGTCCTGCTTGATCCACTCCAGGATTCGGCTGCATTGTATTTGTACTTTATATCGCATACCGCGACTTTCTTTTTGCATTGCCTTGCCTTGTACCATAGAGCTGCTGCTAATTGCGCTGTTTTGGGGCCGCGCCCCTTCCTGCAGACACTGTGTTTTCCTGGTGCATCACCCCAAGCCGCTGATTGAAATGGTGCGACCGTACAGGGCCAAATTTTGCCCTGCCTTGCCTGCCCTGCTCCCGTGAACTCTGCGATGATGCGCTGCTTTGGATGGCACCTCTGTGCATGCCTGTAACGAGCAGGATCCCACAGAGAGGAAATTCTCATGTGATATACAAAGGGCTGTCATTGGACGTCATGGCTTCGCCCGTGCCGCTTCTGAACCCTGAGACGGAATGAGTGCCGACATGCAAAATGACAAATCAGCAGCCTTGAGATGGGCTCGGAACTGGGAGCCGTGCAAAGCACAGCTAAACGCAGTGCAAATCAACTGGTGGCTGTGGGCTGTCAATTCGCTGAAATTGAGCCGAAAAGTTGAGACCGGCCTCCTCCTGCGTGGTCACCGCAACATGGCAGTGCATGATGCAAGATGATGGCGTAAAGCTTCTTTTCCGAAAAGTGGGCTCGCACGAAGGTTGCCTTTCTGGAAGAGTAGGTAACATTCCCGACGATGGTGATGGCCATTGCCACAGTTGGCGTATGAATACGCGCGAATCTTTGGGATCTCCGCTGGAACACGTGGGATGTTTTGGCACCGAGGTAAAAGCATTCCCCCCTCCCTCGTGCAGCTATTTGCGGCAGTGATTGCTATCTTAGCTGGTACGTGGTGTTCCTGTAGCGCCGCTGTGGAGACCCCCCAGGGACCCTCCTTGCCGTTTGAAAGGTCTGGAACTCGTTGGCTTGGGGAAGTTTTTGAACAGCTGAGAAGTCGGGAGAGTCTGTGATTGTGCTTGTCGCTGCCGGGAGCATCCGCTTTTGGCCACAGAGCTGCCTGCCCGGCGGCTGTGGCTAACTGGCTCGAGCTGTTAAGTGGTGAAACATACGGCTGGAGTGTTTCGAGAACCAGAAGATCCCATCGGTTGTCCCAGCAGCCTCGCCTTACCCCGCCCAGTGCGAGTGCTAAAACCGGGAGAGTGGAAAACGTCGAGACCAGATAGCGGAGGCAGATCTGGTGCATTAGCCGTCGTGTTCGAACTCCTTCAACCCTCCAAGGATGAAGGGTGCGAGTTTTCAGTGCGTATGGCGTAGGGCTCAAGACTTGAGCCGGCAGTTGCAGCTAACAAACCCAAAATCTTTTCCTTTTTCAAAGCCGCAGGCCACGGTGTTGCGTGGGACGTTGGTAAAATTGAATGAATCCCTGGTTCCTTGGGTTGATGACGCGGTGTCTGGTCGCTTCAAGCTCAAGCTGTGTTCCTGCTGTATGCCATTCTTGCTGTATGCGGAGGCTGCAGCAGAGCCCTGGTGCAGCCCCGCCTGGTGCCACGCATTCGGGCTGGGTGCCGACAGGCGCCTGCCGGATGGTAGTGGTTTCGGGCCCGCAGATTCTGCCCGCGTTTTTCAGGCAGAAAGCGTTCGTGTGCACCCAAAGGTGTGGTGAGTGATAAAAGCAGTTCACACTTGTACATTTTGGGTTTGCTGCGTGTTCGTGCCACCGCCACCACCTTCTACCCTCCTTGAACAGTCGGGGACAAGGGGAAACCAACTGTAACCAGCTTGGACCTTTGCAGAGGCGACGACCTCTTCATACGGATGTACGACGATGCATGCATGTATATGTGTGTAAAGATACAGAGATACAATTAGAGGTACAAAGATATAGAGGCATTGAGATAGATAAATATAAATGAATAAATGAATCAATAAAGATATATATATATATATATCATTGGCTAGGAGGCAGCATTCAATGAAGTTGCATGATCGCTTCCTACCTGTATGGTGTCCTCTCCACGGCCAGTGGCCAGTGCTCTCAGTTTCCAAATTGCCTGGCAGTATTTCTGGTGTGAGACAATAGGTTCCGCTTGCTTAGCTGCCATGAGCTGCGATGCGACCCAGCTCTTGATGCTTGGGCACTGGTGGATGGGTGAATTATGCCCCTCCCGCACCCGAAGCGGAAGCATAGCCTCCCGTCAGGCGCAGACTCCCTGGAGCACCGTGCCAGCGCGTGCATGGTGGAGGAGCTCCGGTCCCCTCCGCAGGTGGTTCGCGACGGGCGGCGGATCGGATGGTCGTGGGCGCCGGGCATGTAGGGTAAGTATAGGGTTTGGAGGTTCGCAGATGCAGCGGTCTAGTTGCAACAGTCGCCGCAACCCAAGCATGAAGTCCCTGCAGGTCCCGACCGCGAAATTTGCTGCCGAGGGGCCGACCAACAGGCTGCAGGGCACCCTTGGGCGCCGGACGATGATAGCATGACTGACGACAGCAGTGTTGGCGGGAATCAAGTTGATGCCGCTGCTGGTGGTGATGATAGATGTGGTTTTTAGCGGCGACAAGGGAACTGAAGTTGATTATGAAACCGAGGAAGAGGCTGAGAATGAAGGCAAGGCAGACGAGGAATGATGCCACTGATGAAGGCCGTGATCGGCGGAAAAATGAGTCCGGTGACGATGCTGCTGCTGATGTTGATGCTGCTGATGGTGATGATGAGGCCGGCGAGCAGTCGTGGTGGCAACCTGCGGCAACTACATCGATACCTAAGTTACCTAAGCACATAGTAGGCGACATGCACTCTGCAAAGCTACGTGGGCCAGGAGCACGGAGCCAAAGCACAGGCACCATGAACGAAGCGCGAAAATGATGGTAGCGAGAATGAGATGAGCATTTTTGGTGCCACGTCTGCCAGATGTGAAGAATGGCATAACACATGAAACGGCGGTGGGTGGGTGTGAAGCGGTGGGCTGGGCAGGCAAAGGATGGGTTACACAGGATCGAGAGGGTCAAGACGGTTAGGATCAGTTCAGGCCCTCACACGAGCTTTGGATGAACAAAGCCTTTCCGCTTGGCACAAAATCATTTCAGTCTTTCACATGTCAACAGCCACTGCACTTGCCGATAGCTGGTGGCCATGTCCTGTTCGGCTTCGACCATGCTTGTGTGCTAAGTCAACGCGGGCGAGGCCTGTTTTGCCTATGCAGCAGGGGAATCAGGTGGTGGATGTGCCACGCTCAGCCAGACACGTTTCCACAACTTATATTCAGCGTTTTCGGACTCGTGACGAGCAACGATTGCACAGATATGTACATCTGCATGTTGGTGTATTCGCAATTGCTTACGGCTTCAAGTGCAGTAATAGAGCGAACTGTGCTGTAATTTGCTCAATGTAGCGTATGCGACGAAAAGTACATGTATCGGAGAGCAGTGTAGTGTGGTGTCGCACTGCGGCATTTAATTTATGTAAGGTGTACACAGTGTATGCAGTATATGTAATGCACTGCATATCTGTGTCCCGTTTCCATAGTATGTTCTTCTGTGTTATGTAACGTTTGGCTAGGTCGGGTTGGTTTCGGGTATGTTATGAGCTATGATGTTATGGTATGTAGAGGAAGGGAGAGGAAGGGAAGGGAGGAAGGGAGGGAAGGGAGGAAAGGGAGGAAGGCAGAAAGGGAGGAAGGGAGGAAGGGCGGGGAGGGAGGGGACGGAGGGAGGGAAGGAGGGAGGGACGGAGGTAGGTCGGTAGGTGGGTAGCTGGGGGTCGCTAGCTAGGTAGGTGTAAGTACGTATGTATGTATGTGTCTATGATGCTTGCATGTATGTATTCTATGCCTGTGTTTTTGCGGATGTATGCACTGTCTGGGCCTTCGGATGCACACATGCTCGGTGTGAGTTGCTTTTGCTCCGTTTTCATCCTTCGTGCCCTTATCGATGTGTAAAGTATTCTGCCGCTGCGACTTGGCTCACCTGACTTGCTTGGAGCGCGGTCCTGTCCTAAATGCAACTCTGGATGTCAGTCGTTACCTATGAAGGTGCGATCCCTTGCTCACCTCTATGCAATTTTTCCTTGTGCAGCGTCTTTCGCATTTTTTCTCTGATCTCCATGAAGAGTGCCTGCCCGTTAAGGCAGAAAGCGAGGAAATGCAACGGCTCCGTGCTGAATTGGCAACCGCCAAGGCCACCAGCTTTGCGTTGAGCTTCTTGAAGTTGCTGAGTGTGTGTGTGTGTGTGTGCTATGGAGAGGGCCGCTTCACAATGATTTAAGATGTGACAGGAGAGGTCAGATACCGAAGGCGACACCTTCTCGTATGTGAGTATTGGGAACGGCTGTTGGTGACAAATCTCCATCCGTCCGTCGTTCTTGCTCGGTGTGCTGCAATCCTCGCCGAGATGCGGAGTAAGAGACGCAGGCGTCCGCCGGCCAGGAAGCTGCGAAGCTGCGAGCCGAGCTCACAACTGCTCGCGATGCCGAGGCCAAAAGCCGCTGGGCAGCTGCTCCATTATTGACCGCTGTCTGCAGCTGTTCGCCCAACACTGTCGCATCGCCAGGCCCTCGCCGCTAGCGAATGCGCGAAGTTGCAGCGAGAGCTTACTTCGCGAGATGCGGAGGAGGGCGAAGTGTGTCAACTTGGGCCAAGTTGCTTTGCAGGTGCCTGAATAAAGTTCAAGGCTGGCTTCGTGGTTGCACAGAGCTTCCCTGTTTCACTCAGCTGATCGACAATCACGAGTGGAGCCTACCATTTCAATTTTGCTTATAGGTATTCAGCAGGAGATAGATGCGTCCAACCCTCGTCCCTGGCAAATTGCTAGAAAATGCTAGAGTGGTGGGAAGTGAACACGCCAAAAAAAAGCAGCCTCCTCCATGCTGATTGCATTATGATTGCATGTTATTAACTTGCGAGGAGTTGGACAGGTATCGGCCTTTGTCAACCGGGTCATCGATTCGATCCACTGCGCACCTTGCTGAAAGGCGATGCCCCCAGAGAGGGCTTCGGGTAAAGGGCCAGGCTGGATCTGTGTGGCTGCCTACGGGCCGTTGATATATGGGGCGGTGCATGTGTGACAAGCTCACGGGTGCAGTATTCATTGATGTTGTGCTGGGTTTTGTGGGCACCCCCTAATGGGGCCGCAAACACGCCACAGAGGCTAACCTAATTAAACACAGTGCGACATCATGTGGAAATATGCATATACACATACATGTGCACGCACAGCTTACTCAATCAAGAAGTATTCATAGACACACTCCCGTGTCAGATGCTTTGGTACCACGTGGCCTTAACGCAGAGCAAGTGTCAACCCGTCAAAAGCCCTGCGTACAACCCTCTAACGCACACGTATTTCAATCGGTCATGGCAAATTATATTGTTGAGTTTTGCATGCCACCCGCTTAGTCATACACGTTTCAGAACCTCAAGGTTGATAGTGCTAAGTGTTGAGTACAACCCTGTTATATTTTGCAACCCGGCTGGCAAGAATCACAGGGCTAGCACCACATATATGCTTATAACCTACGTGTAGGCACGAGTATATGGATGTGCGAGTTGCTTTGCAGGACTCTCCTGCCTGACTCGGAAAGTCTTCACCCACCCGGGGGTGGTGCCAAGTCCGGCGTGCCATGGAGGCCTCGAGATTTGCTTTTCGGTCGCAGTTTGTTTCGTATCCAAGGTATCACTGGCGTGTTATGGTCGAGTGTCGTGAGTCACGTCTGAGCGCTCCCTGCACCTGACCAGCTACCTGGCCGTTCAGAGTACGCACGCAAACGAATCGGAGTCCAGAACCGAACAGAGCTCGCGCTCCAACCCTGGCTGCGTTTTGCAGGAGAGCTCGGGGAATTGCAGCAGCGCAGGACTTGCACAACGATGTACGCCCTTTTTCTTCTCTGAGGAGAATGTGGCATGTCTGGCATGATCGGTATTCCAGAGCACCGCAGGACATTTGCGATGAGGAGCGGCACAAGTCCAAGGACTGGTCACATGTTTGGTTGGTTGCAATCCCGAAACGCCTTTGCAATCTCCGAGCAGAGAATGGCGAAGAAGCTCACATTCTGGGAGGAGTCGACTCGCTCGGCAGACCAAGAGACAGAGAGGCAACCGGCCTGCGGGTCACGGCGAAACTCGTTCGTCCACTCTTCTCCCTTAGTCTGTTTCTGGGAAGATAGAAGTAAACGATCGTGCATACAAACCACACAGTGAACTCGATACATCCATGCTGACAGCGTCTGGACGTGTCTCATGCTTCAAGCCGTGTGTTTGTTTGTCACCGAAGGGTAGAATCGGGTAGAAGTAGCTCTCCTCCAAGCCCTGGACCGTTCATGTTTGCTTATGCCACATGCAGCATCTATTTCCATTCTCTCTGTCTACCAATGCTACAAGAAGTCGGGTGGGAGGTCGTGGTAGCGACGGTGGTGGGGGTGGTGGTGGTGCAGGAGCAGTAGCAGTTGTTGTTTCTGTGACAGCTTCATTTCACTAAACTTTTTCAATCACAGAACAACACAGCGAAGCAATTATACATGCACATGCGCAAGATGTGCACATGCATAACCTGAAGTTGTGTATCCATGTATCTATGTATATATATATATGTATATGTATATGTATGTATGTTGTCTACATATCTATCTTTGTATATATGTATACGTGTACATATGTACATATGTACATATGCATTTCTGTACATCTGTATATTTGTATATATGTATAAATGTAAATGTGTATATGTGTATAGGTGTATATGTGTATATATCTATCTATATATATATGTATATGTACGTATGTTATATATGTATATCTGTATATATGTACATATGTATATATGTATATATGTGTATGCGTATACGTATATGTGTATATATGTATGTATGTTTTATATGAAAATGTGTATATATGTATATATGTATATATCTTTATATGATGTATGTATGTACGTACATGTGTACATATGTATTTATGTATAGGTACGGGTGCTCCTTGCACGCAAGGATGTGTGTGCTTGTGTGTGCATGTAGTCGCGGAGACACACCTGCACCCGTTGGTGCGCATGCAGACCTGCATGCATATGTCCTCGTATTTCGTTGTCCTTTAACTAGTCAGCAGTCAAGGACACAGGATACATAGGGCAGCAACTGGGAAAACTTCCACCGGTTCTGCTGTATTGTCGCTTCTGTGCTTAACAAAGCAGGTAGTTTCGTGCAGATGTAAGTACGATGGGTGTACGTCAAAGCCAGAGGAACACACGCGCCGCACATACGAACGAACACACACACACACACACACACACACACACACACACACACACACACACAGACAATGACACACACACACACACACGCGCGCACTGAGTAAGTATGCATTCACTTTCCGTATGTCCAGAGTGGTTAACTCAGCGTTTGTGTTTATGTAGAGAAAGAGACACAGACGTTGATAGCTATGCGGGCATGTGCGAGTTTGTGTGTGTATGCAAGCACCCATCGGCAAGGTGATGCGTATGCTTGCACATGAGTAAACCATGCTTGAAACTCCGAACATGGACCTGCTAAAGCTGAACACCCAGACACGTATCCAGCATCATCCTAGCGTTGTCCTTGCCGTCGTAACGCCGCATACAGGGAGTTCGCGGCCCGCCGCGTTGCATCCAGAGCGATGTGTCTTGGACTGACACCTGTTTTTACGTTGGAGTTTTGGCGGGGTTCAGACTGAGCCGAGTGGAGGACCGGAAGGTTTCGATGTGGTGAAGCCAATGCCGTACGTTTGGAGAAGCCCAGGGTTCCTTTCACCGTTAAGGTCTTGCTTTTATGGATTTTTTTGCCAAGAGCCCAAGACTAAGACCATCAAGACGAAGGGCCCCAGATCTGAGAGCCTTCAGCCCAGCTTCAGCGCTTCAGCCCAGGATGCAGGTAGCTCCGGAACCGGCTTTTCTTGCCCAGCTACCCGGTCGTGTTTCCCAGCCAGTGCTTGGAGCTGCAAGGTTCAGGGCGCAAGGTTTGGTGTTGAGGCCAGAGCCAGAGCTTTACTGAGAGGTTTAGGTCCGGGCTGCTGAGGTGCACGCCGCGCACGTGCCTGCGGCCACGCCCCAGGCAAGCCTCCGATCAGCCTCGGAGCCAAGGCTTGGAGCCGTGGGAGGGGCATAAAACCATTGAGAGGCCCCAGTGACTTTCAGCAGCGAGCTCAGCTTGACAGGCGCCAAGCAGACCTGCACATGACTCTGTTCTGGCGTGCATTCGTCCTCATGCTATTCGTGTGATCTTCCTGGTCTATGGCCTTGGGATTAGCTCATACAAGCCCCAGTCCATGCTAGAGACTCTATCGGACAAATTCCGGAAATCCGCGTTCGTGAAGTGAATGGAATGCAGGCTGCAGCGGAGCGCTGGTACCATGACATCGGGCCATGGTCCCAGAGAGAAGTATGCCTTGTGATCTTTAGAGTTCCTGGTCGGGCCCCACATCTGTTCTGGTGTCCGGTTCCAGAGATCTGGACATGAGCAACCCATGATCCCATCTAAACAAACCCTCGGCCGTGATGCGCCCTTCGTGTTTCAGGTGACTTTTGGTCGGATTGCGCGGTCCAGTAGCCCAAAATATGCACAAACACTTCTCTACCTGCCTGCGACATTATGTGATCAGGCTCCGGTGCATCAAGCCCCTCGAAAGAGAGGCTGCGAGCGCTTGAGCACGAGCCTCAGCGGCGTCGTCGTCGTAGTAGTAGTAGTAGTGGTAGTGGTAGTGGTAGTGGTAGCAGTAGTAGTCGTAGTAGTAGCAGCAGCAGTAGTAGTAGAAGTTAGAAGCCGGAGTAGCAGGAGCAGTAGCAGTAGCAGCAGCAGTAGCAGTAGCATGAGCAGTAGCAGCAATATCAGTAGGAGCAGGAGTAGGGGTCGTAGCATTATAGCCGAGGAGTAGGAGTAGCAGCAGCAAGAGGAGGAGGAGGAGTAGGGGGAGGAGTTGTAGTATTTGCTGTAAAGTAGCAGTCGTAAGAATTGCATTCAACCTGGTTGGATGCTGGGCTGCTTGAGGTCTGAGGTGGCCTCGCAGTCAAAGCGAATCCGTGTCCTGGAGGTGGGCAGAGTCGAAGAGCGGAGCCCAAACCCGCTGTCACAGAGGGCCCTACGTGGCTGTTGTCCAGAACGCCCAAAGCCAAAACCGCCCAAAGCCCCAACCCTGACCGAACTCGGCTGCAGGAGGCCATCACAAGTCAAACCCATGGATTGTCATACCTGGAGCCGGAAGCCGCAATTCCAGCCGCCTTTTCAAAAGCTCAAGCATTGCACCGGCCTTCAAACCTGTCAACCTTGCCATGCTTGCGAAGTAGGCGGCAAGAAAACCTGTCAAGAACACCAGCGCCTTCGACCCCGGACTTTGGCCTTAAACCCGCTCCTGAAACCCTGAAGTTTGAATTCGCAGATTCTGAAGAACAAGCATTCACGGAAAACAATCCATTTCAGGAGCAGTCAGGAGCAGTCGCCAGCTAAAACTAGCTTAGACGGCCCCCGAAATCCTTGTGCAGATCACGGTCGTCATTGGAAGGACATTCGTTTTGGCACCTTACAAAACCCTCCGAAGAAGGGGACGCCCCATTTCAGTGGCCCTGAGGGCGAACTGAAGACTGCTGAGAGCCGGGCTTCGCGACTGCAAGCTTCAGGCCAGAGATTTGGGCAGTGCTTTTTCATTGATGAAGATGCACATATATAATACATAGGTGGGCCGGTTGCTAGCTAGCAGCTAGACACATTCAGACAGATGGATAGATAGGTAGACAGACAGGCAGACAGGTAGAGAGCTAGATGGATAGATGCATAGGTAGATGTATGTGCGCGAGTGTCACTAGGTGTATAAGATCATGTCATCACATTTCTTGCTACCTATCTACCTTTGGATTTGTTTATCTATGTTTATGTCTATGTCTCTGTCTATACTATACATGTTGGGTACGTATATACACATATTACCACACACATATACATATATATATATATATATAATATGTATATGGTCACCCCCCCCATGAGAGACCACCCGCTTCAAAACACTGGAGGGTGAGGGGACGGGGGGTGGAAGGAGGGGTGCCGGAAAGCCAGAGCAGCACGCGCCGTTTGGAGATGGAACGAAGATGAGGTTTATCAATCCAAGGCTTACCGTAGCCTACTAAAACCTACTTGTTTTGTGGGGCCCCTATAGAAGACACTCCAGATTCGGGTCTCTAAGAACCGAAAGAGTCGGCTATGGTAGCCTCAGGTAATCAATGTCTAATTAAAGCTATAACTCTCGCGGTAGCTTGAACCAAGTGCCCTGCTCTCCTATAAAAGCTGTACAGTTTAATTTCAAGACCAGGTGGGAGGGGTGGCGTGTAGGGGGCGGAATGGGGGTGGTGTGGGGGGCGGTTAGGGGAAGCGGTAGCGGAGGAGGGCCAATTAGGGGTAGGACAGGAGGGGGTGCAGGGCCCGAACCAACCAGGAAGGGTATTTGTATCTATATTTTTTCTAGATAAACAGATAGAAATGTACACATACATGTGCACCTATCTTTAGGGAGCAGGCGGACAGCCGTCAAAGCAGGCAGGTAGGCAGGCAGGCAGGCAGGCAGGCAGACGGACATACGTACACACTCACATACACCATACACTTACACACACATAGACATACGCACGCGCATAGGTACATACTTGCATGCGCACACACACAAATGCATACCTAGACACATGCATGCATGCATGCATACATGCACACACAGATGCACGACTCACGCACCCATGAGTCCAAAACCGGCACCACGGTGTGCTTCGGGAGCACGATGGACATGCCGGCACATGCATCGGCCTTTGCAGGAACATGATCACATTGCCATGCATTTCCAAATCTGCACCGCACGATTTTCGGAGGAGGAAACACGAGTCGCACCTTGCCAGACACACCATGCACACACGAGCACCCAACCATTGGCTCGTATGTGATGGTTGCGCGCGATTTCATTCGATAATGCGTATCGCGACACAGCGGTAAAAGCTGGACCGCAATGAGCACCTCATGTCGCCGGACAGCGATCTTGTCCCTTTGCTCTTGACATAAAAACCCCGTACTGTTGTCACACTGCTCTGGGGAATCGTTCTATCTTCCTGACCCCATTCGTGTGTGTATGTGTGCATACATCCACGCATACATCCATCCATCCA